ATTGATTCTGGTATATATAACTGGTTCGCAGCATTTCCACCTTTTCCTGTAGTTCCTGCAATCGTGATACCTTCTAATGAATCTGGTGAACAAAACATTTGTATACGATAATTCAAACAATCAACAACGTATAGATTGCCGTACTGGTCTCGAGTAACATCTGTTGGGTAATTCAGTTGCAGAGAGCTGTTTCCTTCTTTGCCGGGTGTACCAGCATATACAGAGCCTTGTGCTGCATTCATTTCCCACTTAGTGACGAAATGTCCATTGGTATTTGATATATACAGAGTGTCATTAGCTGTTTTATCGACATAGAATCCTTGCGGATAATTTAACTGATTGTTAAAATTTCCTTGTCCATTACCTCCAGCCACAATTTGACTAGTTGCATTTGGCTGCAACGTCCATTTTGTGACACGATGATTATATCTATCCACGACGAATATTGTGTTTTGATGTGTCCATAAACCTTGTGGAGAACTGATTTCATTTAGTTCTGAGCCAAACGACCCATTTCCAGCGACGGTCACACCGCTCTTCTCTTTGTTTAACCATAATTGTATACGATTATTAGCTGAGTCAGATATAAATAGATTTTGCTGTTGATCAACGATAATACCCATTGGATTTGAGAGTTTTTCTGATGTTGAACCAAATGTACAATTTATACCATCACCAGCGATAGTTGTTATTTCACTACTACTGCTGTTAAGTAACAATTGTTGCACACGATTATTATTTGTATCGACGATATAGAGAATATTAGTAGCTGAATCAATATAAATTGCTGTAGGAAAATTTAATTGATTTTGTGTACAACCAAATGAAGTATTACCAACTAGAGTGATAGCAGTGGTATTCCATTTGAAATTACCTGGACCTAGCAGTATGATACAAAATGTAATACAAGCTCAGGAAATTAGAGGTTCATATTTACAATTATCTGAAGCTTTTAATGACGGAACAAACTTTGGTTTAACTAAAGATAGAGTAACAACTATTAATAACACTGGAAATATTTAAGTTCTATTGCTTCGTACCTTCAACGGTAAAAAACAGCCTACAAAAAACATGAACTGAATGATATTTTAATTCTATAGTTGCATACGTTTTGAAATATATACACTCACATAGACACAAGTAGCACGGACATCCTTTCTACAACGAAAAAGACTCGATGTAATGTTTATGTTGTAATGTTAAAACTTTTGGTACACAGCTGTGTTGATTCTCACCATTCATTTCCATATATTTTTCATACAAATATTGGAATAAAGCAAAACAATCTTCTCTGCTTCTACAATTAAAGGATTCAAGAATTAGCTTTACTATTCAGCTTAGATGCATTTTCGATTTATAGTTTATTATTCGTATGATTTCTAAATAACAAAGAGAGATCAATTTTGATCGGTGTATAGAATATCTTTATAGATGTTTCTGTTGCTCGAACATAAACAACAACTGCTAAAACCCAATGATTTCTGTTGAGATTAATGGTAATTAGTAGTTCAGTTGTAACAGCTATTGAAACATCAATGAGTCTTTGCTTTTGATAATCCTTCATAGCTGTTAATAGTTGGTGATATTATCCATTTTGTATTCTTGTTCCAAGTGACGGGCCGAAGGTCTAAATATATCGATTATTTGCAATTAAATATTGCGATTTATTTCGACAGCGTGTTGTGGTAATATGTCAATATCACCATCTTTGTACCAGAGATCGTACTATTGATTATAAAGGTGTTTTTTGTTTCTTTTAACTGTTGCTTTTTTGTTTTTCTTCAAGTGTTTCTGTATTTTTATCTTTTTTAGCTGTTGAATTATCGTGATCAGTGATTTTTCTTTTTCTTGTCCTCGCTTTATCCTCTTCTGAATAATGAACAGGTGTCTGTATTTCTTCAGTTGGTGTTACTGGTTTTCCTATTGATAAATCAGCATTTTCCTTGAACAGTTCGAGCATGAAAGCAGTATGGTAACTATAGCAGGCTGGTATTATTGTTATTCTGTGCTGTACTGATGTGCGGAATTTCACAAAAATGCAGTTGATTGACGTATTTTCTTTTGTTGTTGCCCCTGATATTAGACTTTTATAACCGTTTTTAATAAAATATGTTCGAATCGGCTGATCTGGTTCCTTCAATGATTCATTAATATCACCCACAATAATAGACGAACAGTTTTCTTTAATTACTTCAGCCATTATTTTCGCAAAATTTTGTAGAAATTTGACTGAAGAGCTCGTAGGTGATTTATATATTGTAAGGATTAGACATGATTCTCCATTTATTGTTGTTTTCACACAAATACATTCAACATCACACAATGGCATTGTATCTAGAGATATTCCCAAGCTGAATTTTGTAGAAATTCCCATTCCACCTCTATCTCTTGCAGCTAAGGATGGATCCTACTAGACATAACATCGATTGAGCCAGTATATACATATATATATGAGAATCGATTTCTGGTGCATTTTTTCCAGTTCTTAACCATGTTTCAGTGAGATATACTATATCACATTTATCTAACCAACTGTGATTTTTCATTTCCATATAATGTCCATTTAAACCTTCAATATTGTGAAGCACTAAACGAAATTGAGCTTGATCATTTAAATTAGCAACTCATTCTTTTCATTCTTGTAACTGATTCTTCAATTCTTTCATCACAGAAAAAAGCATTACTATTTAGATCGATTAGAAAAACATCCTCTGGTGAAGTAAGACGGGTTACAGATGTGTAACCTTCACAAGTTTTTAAATAATGAGCTGGATTAATAATAACTTCTGGAAGAGTTAGCCCTTGTACTTTATGAACTGCTGAAGCCTAATCTGAGAGGAAATTGTTCATCATTTTGTTTTCGTTTGTTCTTCTCAAACCGATTACTGTATCGTTCAATAAAAACTGTTTTATCTCTCTTACATAGTTTACAATTTGCTTGATGTTGAAGTCCACAGTCAGGATTGTCAAATTTAACTCTTATTGTCTGGACCACTGACGTGACCGGATACATGATAATTTCAACAATTGTGTCAGACGCTCCTTTGACTAATCGATTTACTTCACACATATTCTCTGTAATAACAACACGTACTCCTACAACTACTCTTAAATTCTTGTAATTATCAACTTTTGCTTTCAGTTTTGAATTTGACTGTTGTCGATTTCCTTTTATTAAAGTTCCACAGTTATTTTTGGATTTTACATTTCTTGATGGAATATCAATAATATCTGAGCATACTTCCGTTAACATTTCTGCATTGTGAACATCAACAAAATCATTCCATGAAAATAAATGGGTTGACTCTTTTCTGTATAATTTTTGTTTATCTCGTTCGACACATCTTTTTAACAGTAGTTCATCCTAATCTGTCAAAGGTTTCGATTTCTTTTTCTTTCGCAATCTGTTACACTGTGCATAGAATTCTTCCTCCTTTGTTCTCTAACAGATTGTTAATTCAAAATATTCGAATAGGTCTGTCCAGTAATCAATAATATTGTTTCTGACATAATGTGGTAAGCCGAAAACAGGAGGTAGTTGATAAAAATCACCAACAGCAACAATAGATATATTTCTAAAGTGAATACATGCACCTGAAGTAGACATAATTTGAGCAAGACGTGCGTGAAATTCTTTCCATAATGACTGATCAATTAACGATATTTCATTAATAAATACAATCATAAGGCCATCGAGTTTAAAACGGAGGGTGTTTATTTGATTTTCACTAATCGAATACATTTGTTCGCCTATCATAAATGTTGCATGAATTGTATCAGAATTTGTGTTGAAAGCTCCTGCATTTGTCGGGGCACAAATGAGAGTATGTATTTCTTCTAGATTTTCACCATTAGTATTACTGAACACTTTACTTGCCTCATGATAAATACGCTTGAGTAAATGAATTTTACCAGTCCCAGCTCCACCAGTGGTGAATAAACGTATGGGTTCAGAATGATTCTCTGCAATCGTTCTGACCATTCATGGTTCTTTATGAGCAAGAAATTTGATGAATCTTTTGCAGATAGTAACTTTTGTGCAGAACAGATTAAAAGATGATTACTTATAGAAATGAATTGGTTTCAACTTGGAATCTTCATATCTCAGCACAAATAAGTTGTGGTGGAAAGGTAAAAAAAGCTTGTTTCATTCTTTCTGATTGTTACATCGAAAACAAGAAAAAGAAGAATGCCCCCTGCCAGGATCGAACTGGCGATCTCTGGTTTACTAGACCAGCGCTCTACCACTGAGCCAAGAGGGCTTATATCTCATTCAACTAGAATCAGCACACAAGTCGATATTATTGACGCTTTTCTTTTACGATTCTGATTTCCGACCTATATGGCTCAGGATTCTTGCTTATTTTTTTGGACTCAATATCGATTTAATCCTAAATACTAGTCCATTGAGCGTAAATATACGGTTCGGCTTGGAGACGATGTAAATATTAATGATATGACAAAAAATCTTTCATTTAATTAACGCCACAAGTTATATTCTTGTATGATATGAATTCTTCCGCGGTCATGAGAAAGAATGAACGAACCGAAAAGTGTTTTTGTAGCCATCATTTAGAGAAATTAGTATAACTCACCCGCACCCCGCAACCGGTTTGCGGAATCGTCTCTCACGCAGTACTCAGTGATTCAGCGTTATGCATTCAAAATAATGAAAGATTTTTTATCACATCATTAAGATTTACATCGTCTCCAAGCCGAACTGCATATTTACGCGCGTGAGAAATCTGTTTGTAAAAATCTTAATCAAGGCCTTGACCATACTTGTTCTAGACTTTAAACCCAACTTAGGTTGAAAATTCTTGATTAAGTTCTTGAAAAGATTTGAAAATTTTCCGGTTGTTAACAAAATTTTTCACAACAAAGAGAAGGAGTGGTTATTTAGAATACAAAATGAGTTCAACAAAAATGTAAATGTACTGTAGAACATGAACTGCAGCGATACAGTAGAAAAGAACCCAAATATGAAGTGTAAAAGATTTTCGTCGAAAAGCCAAAGCTGTTAACCAAGATTCTGTTTAGGGTATATGAAATTAATCATTTCAAAAATGTTCAAATATCTTTTATCGGTTCCTCGGCTGTCACCATCTTAGTCGATGAGAACGACATTATTAATTAATCAGTTGAATAGAATTTTAATGTTCACGCTTATGAAGATTGATAAACTTCTGTTCTGTTTTGGTTGTCCCAAATGCATTTTTGTCGGTCATGTTCGCATTCAAGAGTCTAATCTAGCTTTCCTAGTGGAAAGTTAAATATCAATTTTCTCTACCTGAAACGATGAGCCGCAGAAAAGATTGTGAGAAGCATTGTGAACTTTATTTAGCTGACAACTGGCGGTAAACATAATTTCATCCTGAAATGCAAGAACTATTCCATTCGTCTCGAAAAATGTGTAACTTTTCTTGCCATTTGCATGAATCATTTGTCTTTAAGCGTTTTTGTATGTATTAAATCGGCAGCGTTAGTGCGATTTCTGTAAAATTCTCACAATTCACAGAGCACTGGAAGTGTCCTTTTACATTCTTATAGTCGTACATTTTTTCTTAACGTGGTTATCACTCAAGAGCTCTAAAAATAATAATGAAATAAAATAAAATTTAAATAAAAAATCCTTAAATCAAATTAAATAAAATAAAAACTCTCGAAAGCGGAAGAAAATTTGAAAACAAGGGACGATGTGGACAAGGATTGAATTTGTTACCACTCGTTCCGTGAGGAAATGTTTTTATGCAGTAGAGCACTCCTGTAACTACTGGAAGTAGTCCCTTTTTGTCTATTTTGATAAAATATCTTTCAAAGAACGTTGCCAACTGAAATATTTCACTTTCTGACTTTTTCTAAATATAGTTCACCGCATTTTATTAATAAATCATCCGACATTGTGCTAAAACTGAATTTCATATTGTTAGCTAGCAGAAGCATACACTCCCAGATCAGTGTTGCCAGTTGCTCAGGTCACAAATGGGAAAATTACGAAAAATTTTTGCCAGAATGCGGAAAAAAACGGAAATGCATTTTCATGGTCTAACTTCATCCGTTTTCCACAAAGAGAGTAAAAAAAATGTTTTCTCTGGCACTTTGTGTTTTTAACATAAGAGAACAACAAACAGAAATATAAATCTCGATTTTAATTCACATGTCGTATATTTTTTGTTAGAATAAATAAGTTTAAGCAATTCTGGTGTTGATAAGAAATAATTATAAATTTCAATGCATAATAACGATGACTTTAAACGAACTTTTAACTCAGCGGAAAAACAGTAAAAGCTTAAAATGCGGATATACTGCGGAAAAAACTCCAAAATACGGACCAGCTGACAACTCTGTCCCAGATATTCCCATTTTACTCAAATTTCAAAAAAATGACAAAAAATTAATTCATGAGTAAACGAAGAACTTCGAAACTTTAGTTTCAGTTATATTTAACAGATCACATGAGAATACACGAGAAAAACCTTTTCTCGCACTTTGTCACCCTCACACGATCTCAAAAACTGACTTTAAGCAAAAAGATATTTTAAGATATCAACAAAAAGCAATTTTGTGTACAACTGAGATCATCAGTCACATCAAGACAAGCAGCATCAAGTTGCAAAAAAATTTCAAAACCTAAGAGTTAAGATTAAAAAAGTTACATTCTAAGTAGTAACTAAGTGACAGCCATGTTTTACTCGGACTTTTTCTTCCAGAACATGATGAAATAAGTTCAGGAAAACAGCAGAGCTAAACTATAAAAAGTAGGCAGGGGAATATTCTTCACAAATATACGATAACAAAATAAGAGTTGCTTGTAAGGTGCCGGCAATTCATTTTTTTCATCTTTTTATATATGATCCGATAGAGCGCGATGAGCTGAGCAAGAAAAACTGTTTTTTAATTTCTGAAAAAATTCTCTATAGTCGAAAAACTTGAAGGCGACGGTTTTTAAAACTACATACGTTAATTGTGTTAGGCCAATTTAACATTTATCAGGAAGGTTACATTTTACGTTTATATACTTCGTCTTATAATTTGCTACGGTCTTTTCAGACATTAAACGTGTACAGAATGCACAAATTCGTTTTCATGTTTCTATTTACTCAATCTTGTGTGTTACAATAATTTTATGAGGTAAAAATACTTTTTTTCAGAACTTTTAAATAGACATGGTAATTATGACGTTGTGGTGATAATTCGCAGCGAAACGAAAATTTAAATAACTCTTCCTCTTTCTAATGTTTGTTGAAAACTTTTTTCGAGGATTTTCTTTAGAAGAAGATTCTTTTCCACAAAGAAAACTAAAAACGATGAATGCTATCTTACCGACTTCTATCTTACGACTCACGAGGGAAGGTCACCAACTGCCACCTCGCTTTTTAGCCCTAAGCTAGTGGGTAATAGGTAAGAAAATGTGCCGAATCCGAATATGACAATGGTTTGGGCCGCTAGGCTTCCAAAGACTGGATTTCTAGAAAACCAGTTTTCCAGAAACTCCAGAAACTCTCCAAAACTTTTCTTAATA